CTGGTCTCAAACTCCCTACCTCAGGTGATCCACCCGCCTCGACCTCCTAAAGTGCTGGGATAACAGGCGTGAGCCACTGCGCCCAGGCTATTTATTTATTTTTAAAACGGAGTCTCGCTGTGTCACCCAGGCTGGAGTGCAATCGCGTGATCTAGGCTCACTGCAACCTCCACCTCCCAGGTTCAAGCAGTTCTCCTGTCTCAGCCTCCCAAGTAGCTGGGACTGTAGGCAGGCAGCACCATGCCCAGCTAATTTTTGTATTTTTAGTAGAGATGGGGTTTCACTTGTTTTCTTTATTGTTAATTCGAACTCACACACAGTGTTAGAACTCTGGTACAACCCATCATTCACCAGTTTTGAACTTAGTTACACTGCTGCAGTGTCAGCTGCTTTCTTCCTTTTCTTTTGGGGATTTTTAGCTAGTCCTTTTTTTCTTTGTCCCTGATATATCCTTTATGCTTCATTTCTTCCCTGACTTCTATCTGAGATACGAATAGTGCCAGTTCCAAGAGATCTTATTATTAGACTTAGTACATTGCAGCTATTTGTGTGTGTGTGTGTGTGTGTGTGTGTGTGTGTGAGAGACTTTATAGGAGTAGCTCAATTAAACTTTCTCATGAGTTTAGTATGAACTCTTCTTATTCATTTTTACTCAGGCTTTACTTCTGGTCCCATAAAGAATGTCTAGAGAGAGGCAGGCCCAGATTGGCCTTATCACCCTTGGTTCATTCTGGAAATCATGGCTAGAATAGTGTGTCTGAAAATAGGATTGGGTTAGAAGAAAGCTTAAATGCAACGTAATTTTCTTTTGGAATGTGGCTCTTTTGCTGGTTATTTCCAGCATCATGTAATGAATGGCCTGAGTGGATGCTTTCTTTTGTGAAAACTGTAATGTGTGTTAACATATGTAGCTTGTAGAAATGGAGAGAGTGGATAAAGAGATAAATAGGTCAAATACTGGATCATGTTTTCTTGGGAGGGATAGAAGGTTTTTTCATATTATAATTTAAGGGCATAAGTAACTACGGAATTTTTGACCTATTCTTTCTACTTTGCAGTAAATATTAATGGTTTATTGGAAGGAAAAAAGACTACCTTGTTTTTCTTTCTGAGCTATCACTAGGAGTAAGAAAAAATCTGATTGGAAAAAGTAACCTCTGATAAAGGATTTTAACTGGTATCAGGGCTTATATTTATTCATTACATTTCTTTCTTGCATACTTTGGATGATGATATGGTTAAGAGATAAAGTTTTTTTATTTGGGAAGATTTATAAAATCTTTGCGGAAGGTCTCAGTTGTAAATACATCCCTTGTCTGGGTTGCACATGTTTTATGGCTACTATAGCTCAGTTTGGAAATGGTTCTTGTTGCATTATCACAGCTTATTTTCAAATTAATAGATTTTCTTTTTGGGGGAAATTAATGTCATGTAGAAAGATATTTGTAATATGAGGATTATAGTTTTTATGTCTGTTATTAAACAAAAGATTGCCTCTTGAAGTAACTATGTTTCATTATTTTATATTTCACATTTTAACATCTGAAATCTTCAATTTACTGATGGTGTAATGGTTAATTGGCAAGGTTTTTATTTATTAGCTGTACATGGAGTAATGTCTCTTCTTAACAATTAGTGATTTTTAAAAAAATTTTTTGTGATGGAGTCTTACTCTGTGGCCCAGGCTGGAGTGCGGTGGTGCAGTCTGGGCTCACTGCAAGCTCTGCCTCCCAGGTTCACGCCATTCTCCTGCCTCAGCCTCCTGAGTAGCTGGGACTACAGGCGCCTGCCACCATGCCCGGCTAATTTTTTTTTTTTTTTGTATTTTTAGTAGAGAGGGGAGTTCACCATGTTAGCTAGGATGGTCCCGATCTCATGACCTCATGATCCGCCCGCCTCGGCCTCCTAAAGTGCTGGGATTACAAAGGCGTGAGCCACCGCGCCGGGCCAGTGATATCTTGAATTTGATGAAATACAGCAGTTTACTATTCAGTTTACTCATGATTTAGCCCCAGAAACACTGAGCTAGTGCTGAGATTGGTAGAGTGAGGTGAGTAGCAGTGAGGTAGGTAGAATGTTTATATTGTGTCCTCTTTTTTTTTTTTTTTTTTGAGACGGAGTCTCGCTGTGTCACCAGGCTGGAGTGCAGTGGCGCAGTCTGGGCTCGACGCGATCTGGGCTTGACGCGATCTCGGCTCACCGCAACCTCCGCCTCCTGGATTCAAGCGATTCTCCTGCCTCAGCCTCCGGAGTAGCTGGGACTACAGCCAGCGCACCATCAAGCCTGGCTAATTTTTCTATTTTTAGTAGAGACTAAAATTTCTACTATTTTTAGTAGAATTTCACCATGTTGGTCATAATGGTCCCGATCTCTTGACCTCGTAATCCGCCGGCCTCAGCCTCCTAACGTGCTGGGATTACAGGTGTGAGCCACCGCGCCCGGCCAGTAGAATATGTATTTTGTGTCTTCTTTTTTTTTTCTTTTCCGAGATGGAGTCTGTGTGCTCCCCCAGGCTGGAGTGCAGTGGCGCGGTCTCGGCTCACTGCAAGCTCCGCCTCCCGGATTCGCGCCATTCTCTTTCCTCAGCCTCCGGAGTAGCTGAGACTGAAGGCGCCCGCCACTACGTCCGGCTAATTTTTTTGTATTTTTAGTAGAGACGGGGTTTCACTGTGTTAGCCGGGATGGTCTGGATCTCCTGACCTCGTGATCCGCCCTAAAGTGCTGGGATTACAGGCATGAGCCAGCGCGCCTGGCCTGTTTTGTGTCTTTTTAAAGGCTTTTACATATCTCAGCTTCCATGAGAGGATCAGGATGTGTAAGGACTTCAAGCTAAACATAATAATGAATACTCACATTATATAGGCTTCATTAAAATCCCTAATGAGGCTAGGCACGGTGGCTCATGCCTGTAATCCTAGCACTTTGGGAGGCTGAGGCAGGAGAATAGCTTGAACCTGGAAGGCGGAGGTTTTGGCGAGCCGAGATCGCGCCACTGCACTCCAGCATGGGCAATAGTGAGACTCTGTCTCAAATAAATAAGTAAAAGCCCTAATGGAGTCCTAAACTGCAGCGAATGTTCCTGTCTTTTCACATAAAGGATTACATAATTCGCCCTTTGCCCTCTCCTGAATCTATTTTCCCTCTCCAAGACTTCATTCTGTCTCCAGATTTCAGCTCTAACCTCTAATTGTTTTCTTGGTGCTTTGGTGCTGTTGTCTTCCTCCCTTGTCATTGACTTGTTTTTTTTAAAAACTAGTAGACTTTTTTTTGGGAGGGAGCAGTTTTCGGTTTACAGAAAAATGGATGGAAAGTATGGAAAGTTCTTATACATCCTCCCTTATCTCCCAAATTTCTTCAGTTAGCATCTTGCATTGGTGTGGTACATTTGTTATAACTGATGAGCCAATATTGATGCACATTGTTACTAACTAAAATCCATAGATTAAGTAGGGTTCACTGTGTTGTACATTCAATGAATTTTGACAAATATATAATGACTTATATCCACCATTACCATATCATACAGAATAGTTTCATTGTCCGAAACATCCTATGTGTGAGTTTTTTGCTCATGCTGCTAATAAAGATACATCCAAGACTGGGTAATTCATAAAGGAAAGAGGTTTAATGGACTCATAGTTCCACATGGCTAGGGGGGCCTCACAATCATAGCAGAAGAGGAAGGAGGAGCAGAGGCACATCTTACATGGTGGCTGGCAAGAGAGAATGAGAAACCCCTTATAAAACCATCAGATCTGGTGAGACTTCTTCACTACCAGGAGACAGTATGGGGGAAACTGCCTCCATCTTTCAGTTTTCTCTCACAGGGTCCCTCCCACAACACATGGGAATTATGGGAGCTACAATTCAAGATAAGATTTGGGTTGGGATCACAATTAAACCGTATCACCCTATTTCTACTTATGCATTCCTCCTTTCTTGTCCCCACTCCAGCCCCTGACAACCAGTGGTCTTTTTACTGTCTTCCATAGGTTGCCTTTTTCAGAATAAAATATAGTTGGAGTCATACAGATTGGCTTCTTTCACTTAGCAATATTCTTTTAAGGTTCCTCTGTGTCTTTCATGGCTTGATAACTCGTTTCTTTTTATCACGGAATAATATTTCATTGTATAGATGTAACACAGTTTGTTTATCCAGTCACCCATTGAAGGATAGCTTGATGCTTCCAAGGTTTGGCAATTATCAATAGGAAGTTAGCCTTTTAAAACACAAATATTATATAAAGTACCTCAAGTCACCTACTTAAAAAAGGTTGCACTAACTCAGTATCTTAAGCCCTAAAGAATGATAACTCTTATTTTTGTGTAAATATTTCTAATTGTGTAGTTGGCTCATAACAATGCTCAGTAAATGTGTGTGAAATGATTGAATATGAAAGAAGGAAGGAGGAATTGAAGAGAAGAAATAGGAGAAAAGATTATATCCTAAATCTGAATACTTTTAGGAAAATGAGATTATCTTGAAACTCAGCTGGAAACTCTAATGGGAACCAAGATGGTCAGGGCTCTGAATTAAATCATTAACTTGAAAACACTCTAGAGTTTTTTATTCCTAATTCTTGTACTTTAAAGTATATACATTTTAATATAATATACATTTTAATGTACATCTTATATACTTTAAAGCGTATACATTTTAATATACACATCTTTTTATAGCTCCCAACTATAGAGCTGCCTCTATAGTTCCAGCTCTATTGTAGGCCAAAGTGTGTTCCCTATAATGCCCATATAAAAAAGCCTCATATAGGTTGTCTGTCACTCTAGTACCCTACAACATAAAATGTTCTAATGTAATTATAAGCTAGAAAAGTATTATTTCCTAAATTATTTTATGAATTTATAGCCTTATTGTTATGCTGACATTTTGTTTTTCTTTAAATGAATCTTTAATGTATTTAGCTTCCCTCCATTTTAAACTAGTTTAGCTTTTTTTTTTTTTTTAATAATGTGTATGTTTTTGCTTTCTTCATTATAGAACGGTGGCAGCTGAAGTTAGGAAGCAGATCTCCGGACAGTATAGTGGTTCTCCCCAACTGCTCAAAAACCTTAATATTGTTGGCAATATATCCCATCACACCACAGTAAGTAACGTATTCAAAATATAGTATGTCATTGGTGTATGATTGACTAGGCCATGAAAAAATAGTGGAAAGATAAGAACTAATTGGGTTCCATCATTAATTTCATAACCTTACTTGTTGTTGCCTCATTTTGTTGAAATCTGTGTTGGGAGAGGATGTTATGGGGTGTCATAGAATTGCTAGTTTCCTAGCCAACTCTGAAACTTTATATTCAGGATTTAATCAATCCTGGAATTTTACATTTATAACTTTTTTTTTTCCCTTCTATTTTTGAGACTGAGTCTCGCTTTTGTCGCCCAGGCTGGAGTACAATGGCGCATTCTCGGCTCATTGCAACCTCCACCTCCTGGGTTCCAGTGATTCTCCTGCCTTAGCTTCCCGTGTAGCTGGGACTACAGGCATGTGCCACCATGCCCAGCTAATTTTTGTGTTTTTAGTAGAGATGGGGTTTTACCATATTGGCCAGGCTGGCTCGAACTCCTGACCTTGTGATCCGCCCTCCTCGGCCTCCCAAATTGCTGAGATTACAGGTGTGAGCCACCGCATCCAGCCTTAGAACTTTTAAAGACAAGGTGATTCATTATGTGAAAATTTAGGAATCTATTCTAGAAACAAGCACCAAAGTAAATAATTATATGGGTTTGTAGAATTATCTGTTGCCTTTAAGATAAATGAATTTATATTTATTGAATTATTACTGTAAGCCCAGTACTGTGTCAGAGACATAAATGTTCTCTTATTAAAGAAGCTGGCATGAGGAAATTCAGTTTTGATAAAAACTAATAATATTTATTATGTTAGAAATATGAATTAAAAACATACCTGTATTTGTCTTAAAATTAGAGGTCATTTTTACAAAATGCTCTGGAAAACTAAAAAAGCAAATAAGCATGATAGGGTGGAGTTATAGATTAGCATTTTCCATTTAGCTGTGAAAGGGTACCTGTTATTGAACAAACTGGGAAATAACAGTTTGATCGACTTGTAATGATATATTTATAACGTTGTACTAAAATTTGAAAACATTAAGTTTACTTTTAATTACAGTAACATGCTAATTGGAGAAATTTTAGAATATATGGATTTCTTGCTGATTTCAATGTACATGGAGATAATCCTTCCAAAATGCTCTTGGTGTCTTGAATGCCTCTCTTCCAGTGATACTATTTTGCATCCTGAATTACACCTTAACTACTCAAAATTTCTATAATCAGACCTTAGATTTTTGTCATTATGAATAACTATAACCCATGTGTAATCTTAGTTTTATGCTTCCCATCTCTGATCACCACCTCTTATCTTTATGGTCTTCTTGTTATGGTACCCTGACTCCAATTGTCCTTCCACATCACCAGGACCTAGAATCCATGAACTCATTGAATTAGACATATGTAGCGACTTCCCAGGTTTTGTTGTTGTTTTCACTGAGTACTTATTTGTGACATTTTAAATTCAGAGCTGTATACTGCCCTAGAAATAATATCTGGGCAAAAAGCGCTGAATGAGAAATTGAATTTTAAAAAAATTTTATGTATGTGTAATATATACTTACATGCTATACTTATATACATAATAGATATAGTGGTAAAATATACATAACATAAAATTTACCATTCTAACCAGTTTTATTTATACAATTCACTGGCATTAAGTCCATTTACTGTGTTGTACAACCATCACCACTGTTTATCTCCAGAAATTTTTCATTATCCCAAACTGAAACCCTGTACCCATTAAACAACAACTTCCCATTTCCCCCCCTTCTCAACTCCTGATAATATCTTATCTTTCCTGCCTTTATGAATTTGCCTCTTCTGTGTACCTGATGTAAGTGGAATCATACAATATTTGCCCTTTCGTGTCTAGCTTATTTTACTTACTTAGCAGAATGTTTTAAAGGTTTATTCAGGTTGTAGCCTGTATCTTTTTTTTTTTTTTTTTTTTTTCCAGACAGATTCTTGCTTTATCATCCAGGCTGAGTACAGTAGTACCATCATAGCTCACTGCAGCCTTGACCTTCCAGGCTCAAGTGATCCTCCCCTATGAGCCTTCTAAGTAGTTGGGACTACAGGCGCATGCCATCATGCCTCGCTAATTTTTGTATTTTGTGTAGAGACGGGGTCTCACTATGTTGCCTAGGCTGGTCTTGAACTCCTGGGCTCAAGTGATCCTCCTTTTCGGCCTCCCAAAATGTTGGGATTATAGACGTGAGCCACTATCCCTGGCTGATTTAATTCCTTTTTAAGGCTTAATAGTATTCCATTGTATGTATATGTCACATTTTATTTATTCATTAATTTTGATGGACATTGGGGTCGTTTCCAAACTTCTGGCTATTGTGAATAACTGCTATGAACATGAGAGTACAATTATCTTTTTGAGTCACTATTTTCAGTTCTTTTGGGTGTATACCTAGAACTGGAATTGCTAGATGATACAGTAATTCTGTGTTTATTGTATGCTTTTTGAGGAACCACCAATCTGTTTTTCTTAGCAACTGTATCATTTTACATTTCCACCATCAATGCACAAGGGTTCAAATTTCTCCGTATTGTTGTCCACACTTGTTATTAACCATTTAAAAAATAATAGCCGTTCTAATGGGTACGAAGTGGTATCTCACTTATATTTTTGGTTTACATTTCCCTATCTGCAAATTTTATGTTGTATTTTCATTTCGTTCAGTGTATTTTTTTCATTTCATTTTTCAGACTTTTGTAACTTATGGATTATTTAGAAGTATGTTTAATTTCTAAGTGTTTGGAGATTTTCCTGTTATCTTTCTGTTGCCACTTTCTAGTTTGATTCTATTATAGTCAGAGAACACATTCTGTCTGATTTCAGTTCTTTTAAATTTGTTGAAGTTTGTTTTATGGGTCAGAATATGGTCTGTCTTGGTGTATACTTTTGGGACCTTTGTAATGAATGTATATTCTGTTGTCATCGGGTGGAGTGTTCTATAAATGTCAGTTAGATCTATTGGTTGAGGGTGCTTTTGAATTATACTATATCCTTGTTGATTTTCTAGAATCTGCAGAAAAGCGATCTCTTGATTTCTGCAAGTATAATTGTGATATGTCTTATTTATTCTTTCAGTTCAATCAGTTTTTGCTACACCTACTTTATAGCTCTGTTATTTAGTACATACACAGAGTATAACTCTGTTATTTAGTACATACACATTTAAGATTGCTATGTCCTCTTGGATCATTCCTTTTATAATCAAGGTAATGTCACTCTCTATTTGGTACTGTTGTTTGCTCTGAAGTCTGCACTTTCCCTTATTAACTTAGCCACTCCTGCTTTCTTTTGAGTAATGGTCACCTGGTATATCTTTTTCCATACTTCTATTTTCAACCTACCTATGTTGTGTTATTTGAAGTGAGTTATTTGTAGATACCACATTGTTAGGTCATATTTTTAAGTCCACTCTGCTAGTCTCTTACTTTTACATTTATGTTTATAATATAATGTATAAATTTATAATTGAATGTTGTTACTCTGTTAGGGTTTAAATCTACCATTTTATTTTTTGTTTATTCTGTTTTTCATCTCTCTGTTTTCTTTTTTCTACTTCTCCAGGGTTACCTAAATGTTTTTTAGGATTCCATTTTGATTTATAGTGTTGTTGAGAGTATCTCTTTATATAGCTTTTTAGTGGCTGTACAAGGTATTGTGTTATATACGTGACTTATCACAGTATTGGTGTTCATATATTACCAGTTTGAGTAAAGTATAGAAACGTTACCTATTTTTACATCCCTTTACCGTCTCCTATACATAATTGTCTTAAACATTTTCTCTATATACACTTAGAATCATATTGGACAATTTAGAAAAGTCAAGAGAAAAAGGAAAGTCTATTGTATTTACCTATATTTTTTGCTCGTGCTGTATTTGTTTTTCCTTCCTAATATTTCCAGATACCTTTTATTATTTCCTTTTGGTTTAAGGAATTTCTTTTAGCCATTCTTTTAGAATAGATCTGCTGGTGACAGAGTCTCTTAGTTTTTCTTTATCAGAGTATGTCTTGATTTCCCCTTCATTCTTTTTTTTTTTTCTTTTGAGACAGGGGTGTCACTCTGTCACCCAGTGTGGGTGATGCAATCTCAGCTTACTGCAACCTCTGCCTCCCAGGCGTAATTCCCCCACTTCAGCCGTCGGAGTAGCTGGGACCACAGGTGCATGCCACCATGCCTGGCTAATTTTTTGTATATTTTTGGTATAGTTGAGGTTTTGCCATGTTTCCTAGGCTGGCCTTGAACTCCTGAGCATAGGCGATCCACCTGTCTTGGCCTCCCAAAGTGCTGGGATTATAGCCATGAGCTACTGTGCCCGGCCTTCCCCTTCATTCTTCAAAGATATTTGCAGGATCTAAAATTCCAGGTAGTCAGTTATTTTCTTACAGCACTTGAAAAATGTTGTGCCACTTTTTGACTGTCATGATTTTTTATGAGAAATTTGTAAGTTGAATTCTTTTCCTCCTAGAGGTAAGGTGTCATTTTCTCCTCACTGCTTTCAGGATTTTGTTTTATTTTATTTTATTTTGGAGACTGAGTCTTGCTGTGTCCCCCAGGCTAGAGTGCAGTGGTGCAATCTTGGCTCACTGCAACGTCTGCCTCCTGGAGGCAGATTCAAGCGATTCTCATGCCGCAGCCTACTGAGTAGCTGGGATTACAGGCCGAGTAGCTGGGATTACAGGCGCCCGCTACCATGCCTGGCTAATTTTTATATTTTTAGTAGAGATGGGGTTTCACCCTGTTTGCCAGGCTGGTCTTGAACTCCTGACCTCAGGTGATCCGCCCGCCTCTGCCTCCCAAAGTCCTTGGATTACAGGCGTTAGCCACTGCACCTGGCCTTTCTTTTTCTTTTTTTAAATCTGCATTTGGTTGCTGTGTCATGGTACATATTTCTCTGGGTTTATCCTGTTTAAAGTTTGCTTAGCTTCTTGTGTCTGTAGGCTTATGTCTTTTTATGAAATTTAGAAGTTTTTAGCCATTGTTTTTTCAGATATGTTTCAGCCCCGTCTTCTTTTTCCTCACTTTCTAGGACTCTGGTGGTGCCAGTATTGGATATTCTAGTGTAGTTTGTCCCTGAAGATGCTTTCTATTTTTGTTTTTGTTTTGTTTTGATTTTTCAGTCTGTTTTTCTTTTAATGCTGTTCAGATTGGATGATTTCAATTTTTCTTTCTTCAAGGTAACCGATTTTTACTTCCTCTATCCCCTCTTTTCTACTATTGAATTTATCTATTAAATTTTAAATTTTGGTTAGTGTGTTTTTCAGTTACAAAATTTCCATTTAGTTCTTAGTATCTTCTGCTTCTTTGCCGAGATTTTGTTTCTTTACAGAGAGTTTCTGGTTTTTCATTTATTTTAAGAGGGTTTACAATTGCTGTTGAATTATTTTTCTGATGTTTGCCTTAAAATCTTTGTCATATAATGCCAAGATCACTTATCTTGGTATTGACATCTACAGGTTGTCTTTTTAATTAGAGTTAAGATTTTCCTTGTTCTTAGTATGATGAGAGATTTTTGATTGGAACTTGTACCTTTTGGGTCTTATGTTGTGAATTTCTAGGTCTTATTTAAACATATTTTAGCTGGCTTTCTTTGATATTGCTCTAGTTATAGGTGGATGCTATCTTGTTTTGGACAGACAGAGTAGAAGTTCAGATTTCTTACTTGTCTTCTTTTGGTATACAAGGAGGGGAAGGATTCCTTGTTACTTATTGTCGAGCAGGAGGGAGAGTCCCCACTTCTGCTGGACCACAGCTCACACTACTTAGCTAGGAAGGGTAGTAGTGCTCCTTACTGTTCCTCACATGGCCTCTACTGACATCCAAGGGTGTGTGGCCTTGTTACACTGGGCATTGGTGAAAGTACTTAACTCTCCACTAGACCTTCTCTGACAGTGCCCAAGTGATAAAGGAAAGAGGAGCCATGTTGCTGCTTCATAGGAGTTGATGTCCAGATTTCCTTAGTGGCCTCTGCTGACACGATGAGAGTCAGAGATTAATTATTGCTCGGTAGATATAAAAATCCCAACACCCTACTTGTACTTCTCTGATACTACCCTGGTGGGGAGAGTTGGGATGCCTTGTTACAGCTTGGTGAGGGTAGAAATATAGTTCCCCACTTGGCCTTTGAGCAGTTAAAGTCTAAATGTTTTTTGTTTTGTTAGGTTGCTTCTTTCTTGATCTTTTGGCTGGGGAAAACAGGCTCACCGCAACCCAGTCCCACTACCTCTAGTGCTTCTTGTTGTTTTCTGGGTTGTGGGCTTTTCTAGTTCTAAGTCTGGAATGTATAAGGCAAAAAGAAATGTTGAAGTAACTCACTGTTGTGCCATTCCCTGGGTTCTGATGTCCCTGCCGGCCAGCCGTTTTCTCTATACCTTTCAGAGTCGTCTTAGGTTTGTTTTCTATGTAGTATCTAGGCTGTTGTACTTAGTGGAAAGAATAGAGAAAAGTACTTCTACTTCGTCTTTCCAGAAGGGAAAGTTTCCTTTAGTGACTTTTGATGTTTGAGCAGTTTTTTGTGTGCTTTATTTTTTCCCATTTATTTGAGGGTGTGACTTTAAAAAAAATTACTGAGATGTAGGACTTGTTCATATATTCTAAGTACTAGTCCTTTATCAAATATGTTTTGTAAGTTCTTTCTTTTAGTGTGGCTTGTTAATCATTTTCTTAATAGTGTCTTTTAATGAATCCAATTTTTCTTTTATGATTCTTTTTTCATGTCTAAGAAAACTTGGCCTATTCCCAAATTGTAAGGACATCCTGTTATGTTTTCTTGAAGTAGCTTTGTAGTTTTAAGCATGTATGTTTGTGTCTGTGATCCATCTCAGTTTAATTTTTATATATGTTGTGATACAGAGATTGGGGTTCATTTTTTAAATGTGGGTACCCAGTTCTAATAACAATGGTTCAAGAAGATTTCTCTTTTCCTGTTGGATTGCTTTCTTTTTCTTTGTTAAGAACATCATAGTATAATTTGTACTTAATAGGATAGGTGAGGTAGAATGCTTAAAATCGTAGAAAAAATTTTAGAGGTCGAAAACCCAGTTTCAAATTTCTGCTCTACCATTTTGTGGCTATTTTATTTTCAGTTGGTTGTTAACTTTTTTGAGCACAAATGCCCTTATTTGTAGAACTGAAATAGTAATTATATCTAGCTTACAGGGTTTGGGGGAGGTTTAAATGAGATAGCATATACTGATAATGATAAATAACTGCTATCTTTTGAGTGTTTAAGATGTGTTATTTATTATTTTACTCAATATCTTTAAAATGTTAAGTCTAGGCTGGGCGCCATGGCTCACGCCTATAATCCCAGTGCTTTGGGAGGCCGAGGGAGGCAGACTGCTTGAGCTCAGGAGTTCCAAGATTAGCCTGGGCAACATGGCGAGACCCTGTCTCTACAAAAACACAAAAATTAGCCAGGCATGGTGGCTCACGCCTATAATCCCAGCTACTTGGGAGGCTGAGGTGGGAGAATCCCTTGAGCCCAGGAAGCAAAGGTTGCATGCAGTGAGCTGAAATTGCACCATTGCACTCCAGCCTGAATGACAGAGGAAGAGCCCATCTCAAAAAAAAAAAAGTTCAGTCCAAAGAAGCATAGATTAAAGCACCTTCTGTTTAATAATGTACACCTGCGCAGAGGCAGGTTTCAGTGTTTTTATTCCAGATGAATATCCTGAGAAATAACATGTTCTTATTTTCATTGGTCTACAACTGCATATGTGTTATATATCCTTTATAGGTTTGTCTGAATATTTTTTTCTTTTTCAAAGTAGATAAGAAGTATGATATTTTATTAAAAAGTATCTTGTTAAAAACTTGGCTGAGGACTGCTACCAGTCTTTATTATTATTACTGGGTAGTTTTTATAGGGCCTGTGTATTCCTTTCCTATGGCTACTGTAACAAAGTGCTACAAACTGGGTGGCTTAAAATGAAAGAAATTTATTCTCTCACAGTGCTAGAAGCCAAAAGTCTGAAATCAGTATCACTGGACTAAAATAAGGTTTTAGCAGGGCTGTGCTTTCTTCAGATGTTCTAGTGGAGTATCAGTTCCTTGTCTCTTCCAAATTCTGATGGCTTTGGCATTCTTTGACTTGTGATCATATCGTCTCTATCTTTAAGGCCAGAATATTCAAATCTCTTTCTTTTTCATCTTTATACAACTTTTTTTCTCTCTGTGTATAGCCTAAATCTCCCTCTGTCTTCTCATGAGGATATATGTGATTGCATTTAGAAAGCACCTGGAAAATCCAGCATAATACCCTCGTTTTAAGAACCTTAATTACATCTGCAAAGACTTTTATTTTTTTCCATGTAAGGTAACATGTACAGGGCCCATGTGTTAGGATGTGGAGAATTTTTGGAGGGAAATTTTTTAGCCTACCCCAGTCTGATTATATGTTTTTACTAGGATACTAAACAAAAACAAGAAATAAAGTCAGAGCACTGTTTAGAAATGGAGCAACTTACTTTTTTTAATATCCAAAGATATAAAAAAGCAAAAATAATCCTGGCCGGGCGCGGTGGCTCACGCCTGTAATCCCTGCACTTTGGGAGGCCGAGGCAGGCGGATCACGAGGTCAGGAGATCGAGACCGTCCTGGCTAACACGGTGAAACCCCGTCTCTACTAAAATACAAAAAATTAGCCGGGCGCGGTGGCGGGCGCCTGTAGTCCCAGCTACTCGGGAGGCTGAGGCAGGAGAATGGCGCAAACCCGGGAGGCGGAGCTTGCAGTGAGCTGAGATCGCGCCACTGCACTCCAGCCTGGGCCACAGAGTGAAGACTCCGCCTCAAAAAAAAAAAAAAAAAATCCTTCCAGTGAGTACTTTGTAAACTATAAAGTAGAATAAAACTGTTAATTCTTACTAGTGTTTTTATGTGAGAGTTCTGGGCAAAGTGTCAGCAAGGACGTTAAAGAGAGTATGACCCAAAACATCGAGGAGTGCAAGAAGGGTAACACTTTGTGTTTTCTTTAGTGCGTGTGGTTCAATATCTGTTAAAATTTTAGAAAGAACTAGATTAAAAGCTTTTATTTTAAAAAATAATAAGTTATTTGCCTTAAGTTTTAAAATTACTTCATCTCGTATTTTCTACCCATCTCTTATCCCACCTTTTTACAAAGGTGCCCCTTACTGAAGCAGTAGATCCAGTGGATTTGGAAGATTACCTCATTACTCATCCTTTGGCTGTGGATTCTGGGCCTTTACGGGATTTGATTGAATTTCCTCCAGATGATATTGAAGTTGTTTATAGTCCTCGGGACTGCAGAACTCTTGTTTCAGCTGTACCTGAAGAAAGGTAAGGAGACATTGACCTGTTTTTGACTTTAGAGTAACTATAGAAAGGCTACCTTCCATTATTTTATTTAGAGCCTATTTTCTTGTAGCATCATCATTTCCTGTTATGCGAACAGCAATTATAGCAACCAAATTAATGAACATCAGTGCTGTCCTGTCTGAATTACAAATGTATTTTTCTTTTTAAAATAGTGAAATGGATCCACATGTTAGAGACTGTATAAGAAGTTACACAGAAGACTGGGCAATTGTCATCAGAAAGTAAGTTATATGTTTATTACAACATTTACGAATACTGAGTAAGATTTCTAAACGGATTAAGGCAGATTCATAATGATTAAGAGACCTGAAAATTTATTTAAACGAAATAGCTGAAGAAACAAAAGAAGAACCTTTGTGTATAGATATTTACTCCTTAGGAGTTCTGCAATTACTTTTACTTACTTTCTTTGTAAAATATAATTCATGGAAAAATAGTATTTCTGTATTATTATAAATCATATAAGAGCTAATAATATATGATAATTTTGTAGTCTAATTCTTTTAGGAAATGTTGGGTAGATATTGGTGAATAATTTATATTTCTCAAAAAGAATCCAGTTTAGTGAAACTTAAATGGCTAAGTTAACATTAACAGGCAGTTTTATAGACCAAGCTATTTGAAAGGTCTCTGCTGTTTCTAATATTTATAGGTCTTTGACCTCTATATCCAATCAGGTAAATATTTGTAAAAAATAATGTTTTGTTCTAGCCAAAATTTATTTTCCTGATAAACTGTGCAATAACAAGTCAGATTAAGAAGTATATTAAAACTGATTTACACAATAATCATTTGCTAATTTGCATAATGGAGAAGGGTCTTCATGCTGAATCTTCTTAACCTTATTTTATTTTTCTGAAGGAGATGTGATTGAGGTAGTGGAGAATTCTGATACGGCATTATAGTTTTCTCAAATGAAATAATCTGTGCAAAACAGCACTAGCAAATGTGATATATCCATTGCTTATTGTTTTGCCCTCATGGCTGTCTTATTTCACTAGACTTTACATTGTGCTAAATATCACTCTGGAGGATAATGCTGACATGCTTTTTAGTTTCAGTGTGACCTAATAAAAGCACAGTCTGCTGCCCTTTATATAGAAGAGCTGTTTTTATGAACTTACAATTTTGATAAGTATTCCGATAGCCAGCTTTTAGACATTACTGAAGAATACTGTTCCTCTGTCAGATAATTCAAAAGTCTTTACCTCTGTGCGTATATGTTAGAAACCTATAATCAGAAATCTTAATAAAAAGGTTAGTTGTAAAATATATTGACCTCAGAATCATGGAAATCTGCTACTTAATTCTAAGCATAGGATTATTAACCTTGGTTTAGGCAAGAGGATGAGAGAATTAACATTTATGGGTTTACTGTGTGCTGTGCATTTTATTGGGCACTTTGCACTCATCTCTTAAGATTTTAACAGATAAGGTATCTCAGGCTCAGAGTAGTTAAGTAACTTCTCTGAGATCCCACAAACCAAAAAATAGGGTAGTCAGGATTAGAACGTAGGGGCATCAGATTCTAAAGCTCTTATTTTTTTCAATTATACTAGATGTTATACATTATATGCACTGGTAAGTGGAAGACCAAAGGGAGTACTTTTGGTGAACTAGAAGTTATGAGGTATCTCTGAAACAAAGAAGATAGGTATGATTGGAATGTAAGAGAAAACCATAGTACAGAATAATCTAAGGAGAAGATACATGCAAAAGCTTCAGTAGTGCTTTAAGCTCAGAACCAGTGAATGCAGGCAATGGAAAGGGAGACTTGGTAAATATTGGATATGTGGTCACTTTGAAACCTCTTCCACAAAGTGTGCTCAGTGACAACAGAGATATCTGCCTTTTTTTTTGGATCAGTAGTTGTGGAGGCTTAGGCTAATAGGATAGTACCCAGGGTGAGCATGTCTTGGAGGAAGAAGGAATGCTCATACCCAGAAGGCTAGGTACTGGCAGACTTTGCTTGGTGGCGTGATCTGCCCTTTCCCCACAACCACTGGATATGGGCTGGAATAAGCAGGTACAGTAGTTTAAGACAGATGTAGGGGATACAAATTAAAAAATTAAGATAGAACTTGAAATTGCCAAGAATTTGATGCAAACCAATACACTTGAAAGAGAATTATCCAACTACAAATAAAAGAACTAATAATTTAGGAAATAGTTAATAGAATACAGCTTAAGACCTATAAGTGTAAATAATACTCTTAAATACATGAGAATAATGTACATGAGAAATGTCAAAGGATATTTTAACCACATAAAAATCAATTAGTTATCTTTGGAAATTAAAATTTTGATTAGTGAAAAAATATTACAAACTCAGCAGATGGACATAATGGTGGTGTGGATGTGGCTGAAAAGTGAAGTAGCTATAAGATGAAGCCACAAAATTCTTCCACGATTCAGCACAGAATGATAAAGGGACACAAAAGTACTTCATTTATTTGCTTATTCAGTAAGTGTTTATTGAGAGTCTTACATGTACCAGGCACTATACTAAAGACTGATGATACAGCAGTGAACAAAACCAACTTTCTACCCTCATGGAGTTTATATTCTAGTGGGAAATGAGATTGTCGATAGACAATAAACCAACACAGGTAAATATAGACTAGATAAGATCTAGGTGAGTGAAGTGGAGAAAAAGGTAGGGTGAAGTAGATAGAGAGGGCCAAGAAGAGGAACAAATATTTTTATTTTATTATTTATTTTGGTTTCTATTTAGTTATTTACTTGGGACAAGGTCTCTCTCTGTTGCCTTGGCTAGAGTGCAGCGGGACAGTTGTACCTCATTGTTACCTTGAATTCCTGGCCTCAAGCCATCCTCTTACCTCAGCCTCCCTGAGTGTTGGGATTACAGGTGTGAGCCACCATGCTCGACCTTCTGTTTTATATAATTAATCAGAGGAAGCCTTACTGATAAGGTGATTTTGAGCAGAGACCTGAAGGAAGTGAGCCTTGTGAATATCTGGGGGAAGAATGTTATTAGGCAGAGGGAAGAGCAATACATGCAAAGGCTCCATATTGATCACATGCTAGAAATGTTCAAGGAACAAAGAGTAAAGAGGACAGTGTGGCTGGAACCGTAAATGAGGGTGAGAATGCCAAGAAACAAGTCAGAAAAATGGTGATGTGTGTGGTGTTGAATGGGTAATTATTAGAGCCTTATCATAGCAACTGACTAGAGGACTGGATGATATAGAAGAGAGTATTGATCATGAATCATTCTTTGCTTTCTTGAATTTCATATTGTCAATTTTTTTAGGATAGAATTCAGTGGCATTCTGATTTATCAGAGCAGCTTACGTATGCAGCTTTACAAATTAAGACACTTGAAACATTCCGTTAAATATTAAGATATCTGCTTCTAAGTAATAACTTTCATATTACTATATTGAGTGTCTTTAGTTCTTTCTCTTTTGCGATTATGCTGTGATGTTAATATCATGTAATTGCTATTTTAATAGCTTTAGCAACAAGACTGGATGTGAGTAATTCATATCAAATGTGATTCTTTACTATCTCATGAATTGGGTAATAGCAAGAACTGTACCATCTTCTTGTAAACATTATTGTTTTGCTTCAACTAAAATATTCCTTCAGTTTGCTCTGTGAAGTGTTGAATCATGAACAATAATTGCTCTTTGATCAGCTCATATTTGATGTTCTTGGGTATTAGGTTGTTATTGGATTAAGAAAGAAGCTTGCATTAATTTAAGACTTGTTTTTAGCTACCTGTGTATATATTTAATGTTAAGTAATATATATGTACACCATGATGGTGTAGATTTTGCTGTTTTTCATGTTACAAGTCTGTAGCTTTAGGTTAAGATCTTTTATAGATAATGAGAGATAGCAAAAAATTTGTTGGCTACTTGAAATTTTAAGATTCAGTGCTTTATATGTATATAACCTTTTAAAATTTATATTATTTTTAATTCAATGTATATTTTCTATTTTCTCATTTTATTCTTTAACCCAAGTTACTAGCTTCCCAAGTTTTCTTTTTACTGACCAATTCTCTGAATTGAAAGTACAGCTTAATTTATATACACATGATTGGCATGGAAAGAAGGAAAATATGATTTGCTTTCGGAAACTCATACTCTACTGCTTAGCTGGGTTAAAGGAGCATTGAATAGAAATTTTCTTTAACCTCAATTGCTAGAATGGATTCGTATTACATAAAGAAATAATGCAGAAAACACTTGGCTTATTACATAATGATGCCCAAAAGTGAGAACATTCCGAAGTTTGATAGTTGATCTTTATGTAACTTTTTTCTTTAATAGATACCATAAATTGGGAACAGGATTTAATCCCAACACATTAGATAAACAGAAAGAAAGGCAAAAAGGTTTGCCAAAACAAGTTTTTGAATCTGATGAAGCTCCAGATGGCAACAACTACCAGGATGATCAAGTAATACTTTTATTCTTAAATAACTTTAAGAAGTTATTTTAAAATAATTGTCAATTTATTTATTAATTAATATAATTATATTTAATGTTTTGCATGACAGGATGACCTTAAAAGACGTTCAGTGTCAATAGATGATACCCCAAGGGGTAGCTGGGCCTGTAGTATCTTTGACTTGAAAAATTCACTTCCTGATGCTTTGCTTCCCAATTTACTTGATCGAACTCCAAATGAAGAAATAGACCATCAGAATGATGACCAAAGGAAATCAAACCGTCACAAAGAACTTTTTGCTTTGCATCCATCACCAGATGAGGTATAGATATTTGCATATAAAGAAGCAAATGATTATTAAAATCGATCTTTTGGGATTATGATTAATGTAGAGTATTTATTATAATAATGTAGAGGATAAAGCAACTGAAACATAGCTGTAATTTTTATAAATGAATACATTTTATACTAGTGAATTTCCTATTCTTAATGAGTAACTTACAATCAAATGACTTCTGTCTGTGGATAAATAGGTCTTTCTTTTCTATGTTCTATTGTGAAGACTAAAAGTATTAGATTAGTAAAGTAAGTTCTTAAAAAAAAGAGTTGGAATATGATAAGCATATTCATTTTGGTGTTGCTTTTCAATTTGTAGGAAGAACCAATAGAACGGCTTAGTGTTCCTGATGTACCCAAAGAACATTTTGGTCAGAGACTTCTTGTAAAATGCTTATCACTTAAGTGAGTATTTATTTATTTTACTTGCAGCTTTTGTTTTCCAGGATAAAATTTTAGTACTGATGTAACAAAATCTGAGTAGATTTTATAGTTGTATTTGTGTCCTTTTGAGAAGTATTGTTCTACATGTCATTTTAAATGCTATTCAGCATTCAAACGTATATATGAAGCTGAGCCTACTGTGCTAAGCCTAACATATTTATGAAGCTAAGCCTACTGTGTAGCAAACGTAAAGTCAACTTTTAAATTCTGTATATCATTTTAAATGCTATTCAGCATTCAAACCTATGTATGAAGCTAATCCCTACTGTTCTAAGCCTAAGATATATATGAAGCTAAGCCTGCTGTGTAACAAATATAAAATCAATTTGATTTTCCAGTAGGCTTTGTTTTTTGAAGATTTTGATATATGTATTTTTTCCTTCTTGAAAAAACTTAGATCTGGTTTCTGCTAACATCATTGAGGTGATATATTTACATTCTGCTTTACGAAGTGCTTTCTCTTATTTCATGCTGTCATGTTAATATTATAAGTTTAATTATTCGTTCCAACTTAAGAAAAAAGTTTCGATTCATAGAGCTTTCTGAAACAAGCAACTCATAGGGACAGACCATGTCTATATATAATTCTGGCAATTTCTTTCCTTGAAAGTTAAGGCTTTGTATATTTAGATTTATTCAGAAACATGTTAGATAGATTAAGTGCATTGAATCTTTTGAATAGCAGGACACCTAACATCAGTTCTTACGTATAGTCTTGTTTTGTTTTTTAACAGCTTTATTGTGATCTAATTTATATATCGTAAAATTAACCCTGTTGAAGTATACAGGTTAGTGGTATATATTCAGAGTTGTACAGCTATCATTACTGTCTAACTTGAGAACATACTCATTATCCCAGGAAGAAACTCCATGCCTGTATTAGTCTGCTCAGGCTGCTATAGCAGAACCATAGACTGGGTAGCTGAAATAATAGAAGTTTATTTCTCACAGTTGTAGAGGCTAGAAATCAAAGATCAGGGTGCCAGTGGGTTGGTTTCTCATGAGGCATCTCTCCCTGGCTTGCAGATGGCTGCTCCTTGCTGCATTCTCACATGACCTTTCTTCTGTGTGTGCCCAGAAAGAGAGAGGTCGCTGGTATCTCTTCCTCTTCTTATAAGGATACCAGTTCCATGGGATTAGTGCTCTACTCTTAGGACCTCATTTAACCTTAATAAGCCCTTAAAGGGCTTATTTCCAATTACAGTCACATTGGGGGTTAGGGCTTTAACATACGAATTTTGGGGGATGATACTGTTCAGACCATAACAATACCTGTTAGTAGTCACTCCCCGTTCTCTTTTTTCCTCAGTCCCTGACCATCACTAATTTTCTTTCTGTCTCTATGAGCTCACCCATTCTGAATATTTCATGTAAGTGGAATTATATGTGGCCATTTGTGTCTGGTTTCTTCATACAGCATAATGTTTTCAATGTTCATCTATGTTTTAGCATATGTGAGTAGTTCTTTTTTTTTCTTGAGACAGAGTCTCACTCTGTTGCCCAGGCTGGAGTGTAGTAGTGCAACCTCTTCCTTCCAGGTTCAAGCAATTCTCCTGTCTCAGCCTCCCGAGTAGCTGGGATTACAGGCACCTGCCACCACACCTGGCTAATTTTTTGTATTTTTAGTAGAGATGAGGTTTCACCATGTTGGCCAGGACGGTCTCGGTCTCCTGACCTCGTGTTCTGCCTACCTCAGCCTCCCAAAGTGCTGGGATTACAGGTGTGAGCCACTGTGCCCGTCCGAGTAGTTCATTTTTTCATATGACTGAACAATATTGCACTGTGTGGATACACCACGTTTTGTTTATCCATTTATCAGTCAGTGAGCATTTGGGTTGTTTCTACTTTGAAAAGAAACATAGCTTTGTTGAAGTATAATTCACATATTATGTGGTTCACTCAATGTATATTCAGTGTACAGTTCACCAGTGAGTTTACCCAGTTCACCAAGAATACAATCAGTGGATTTTAATATATTCTCAGATCTGTGCAACTATTATTACAATAAATTTTAGAGTACTTTCATCATCCTGAAAAGAAATTTCGTATTCGTTAGTAGTCACTCCCTGTTTTCCCCAACTCCTCCATCCTTAGGCAACCACTATCCTACTTTCTGTCTCTACACATTTGCTTATTCTGACTATTTCCTGTAAATGGAATCATGCAATATGTAGTCCCTTTTTTTTTAAACTTAGTTTTTCATAGTGTTTTAAGATTCATGCTGTAACATGTGTCAGTACTATAATTTCTTTTTATTCCTGAGTGATATTCCATTGATGAATATGCCCCATTCGGTTTATCTATTAATCAGTAATGATTGCTTCCACTTTTTGGCTGTTACAAATTAAGTTTATAATTTGTATATAGGTTTTTATGGGACATGTGTTCTCATTTCTCTTGAGTATGTACCTAGGATAGGAATTATGGTTAGTATAGTAACTCCATGTTTAACTTTTGGAGGAGTTATCCAGACTGTTTTCCAAAGCAGCTGCACCATTTTACATTACCACTAGCAAGTTAGGATGATTCTAATTTCTCCATGTTTCACCAACATTTGTTATTACCTGTGTGTGTGTTTTTTTTTAATCATAACCATTCTAGTGGGTGTGAAGTGTTGTCTCATTGTAGCTTTACTTATGATTTTCTTGATTAATAAAAGTTACAAGTTTGTTATTTCTCTCTTAGAGAAATAAAATATAGAATTTTTTTTTTGTACAACTCTATTTTCTTTAGCTTTTGTTTGTTTGGCTCTCATTAAAAATTCTAAAGTAATAATTATATACATCTGATTTGTCTATGATAAGAAAAGTCTAGGTTTAAAGTGAGGAAGAACTTGAGGTCACAAAAGTTCAGAAAGAGTCAGAAATGATAGCTTTACTTTAGCTCATTATAGAAACTGATATATTTTTGAAAATTGTTTCTCTTACATTTTGTTCCCTAAGAACAGCCTTTCTTTATCCTGGATGAGAAAATTATTTCTACTATTAAGAAGACTATTAGTCAGTAACATAGTGATTTATACATTCAGGGGAATATCTTCTAGGCATGGTCAAGTTGGTATGAATTTAGCCAAGAAATGCTAAGAAATCATAATTTCCCAGGAGTAAGTGTTCTGTAGCTAATTTTACATTAGGGCTATTGCTCTTACTCGTTTTAATGGGCTACAAGGAAAAGAGCTTGGCATGCAAGCAGGATAGAAACACTCTTGCATAAATGCCTAACGCCAGATTTCACGAGAGTAATATTAGAAATGGTAGTGATATTTGTTTGCTGCAACTTCAGCTTTGGCAGGGAAAAGTCAGACAGGAAACAGGAAAAAATAAAAAGAGAAAACTCTGAGAATTCCTAGTCATAAGCTTACCTACTATACGTGTGGCTCAAAAAATTCCAAGGCAAAAGTTTAAAGTGATTCTAGGTTTGCAGTGGCCCTAGGTACCTGGCAGAAGCATACATTAATTGTTTTTAGAGGAATTCGCTTTAAAAATTTAGGCCTCAAAATATTTCTACAGATAAAGTTTCAGCTCCAGTCATAAATCAACAAACATGGCAAAACAAACTGCAGACCTGAAAAGGGCTACCAGTCAGATTTAGAATATAAGTACTTTTAATATATTTAAGTAAATAATTATTTTAAAATATTATAATGGAACAAGAAACTGTCAGAATTGACCAGGAAGATTTTGAAAAGATTCATGTGATCTTTTTCAAGATTTTATAATTGAAATTATAAATCCATTTAGGTGGGCTCAACATAGATTAGATAAAACTGAAGAGTGAATAAGTGAACTTGATCATAAAACAACAAACTTATACAAAATGTACACAAAGATGTAAATAGATGGAAAATAAAGTGATATCAACAAAAAGTCTAATTTGAATTCTAGAATGGAAATAACTTAGGGAAGAAGAAAACAGTTATTAAAGAGATAATGGCTGAGAATTGTTCAAAATTTATGAAACATAGTAGTAACTCTCAATTCTGGATGTCTAGTAGGATCTAGGAATAATAAATAAAAAGAAATTCATATCCAGACTAAACATAGTAAAAATGGAGAATACAAAACCAAGAAACTATATTAAAAGCGGCCAGAGAGAAAAAGAGATCCTATGCAAAGATATTACAATTAGCCATCAGGCGCAGTGGCTCATGCCTGTAATCCCAGCACTTTGGGAGGTGGAGGCAGGCGGATCACGAGGTCAGGAGATCGAGGCCATCATGGCTAACACAGTAAAACCCTGTCTCTACTAAAAATACAAAAATTTAGCCGGACGTGGTGGCGGGCGCCTGTAGTCCCAGCTGCCCGGGAGGCTGAGGCAGGAGAATGGTGTGAACCCAGGAGGCGGAGCTTGCAGTGAGCTGAGATCGCGCCACTGCACTCCAGCCTGGGTGACAGAGCGAGACTCCATCTCAAAAAAAAAAAAAAGAAAAAAGAAATTATAATTAGGCTAACAGCTGATTTATCACAGCAGCAGTGGAAGCCAGAAGACATTGAGTGTTATCTTCAATGTTGTTAAGAGAAAATAACTGTTGACCACAAACTTCATACCCAGTAAAATTACCTTTCAACAAACACATTCTTGAAGCAGTTAGTTTTTGCTACACTGTAAACTACCTTAAGATGTAATGTTTTAAAACAACAGGTGTTCAGTATTTCTCATGATTCTGTGGGTTATCTGGGTAGTTCTTGTAGTTTGGGCCAATTTGGTTGGGATTGGATGATCTCTAAAGGAGTTGTGCATGTCTGGTAGTTGGCAGGCAGGTTGGTCTAGGAGTCTCTCGTTTATGTATTTGGCAGTTGGCTTAATGTCAACTGGGAAAGTAGCTATGCTTTTCCCATTGTTCAGTGGGCTGACCTGGGCTTGTTCATGTAGTGGTGGAAGGGTTTTCAGAAAAAGGAGAGTGGAAGCTATAAGACCTCTTTGTGGCCTTGGATTAAAACTCTTACAGCATATCATTTATT